AAGTTCATTTAGAGGAGGTACAATTGGAAGAAAAGTAGAACTGTGGCACTAGGTGACCACATATTTCCAAGTTGATAACATTCACATGGGATTTGCAGAGAAAAATAAAATCTTTCACAGTCATTGGAGGTTTAGTAGAGGGACTGACATCTCTGTTAAATAAAGGAATCATTCATCATTAGGTTTAATCACATTATCTCTCAAGAATGTAGTACTTTCTGTAACTATGCCTTGTTTCCTCTTAAAGTATTTTGAAGGTCATAGAACACTGCACTCTTTTTGATTTACTTGAATTAATTTATATATAACCTAGAGAAATTAAAAACAACCAACCAGAGTTTAAGGTAGAATGTATACTGTGACCCCTTTATAAAACAAGAATTTTGTATAAAGGAAGACATGGATAATATTGACAAGATATGAATAAGAATAACATCCTTCTTAGACCCTCTGCCAGCAAATTTGGCTGTGCTTTGCATGTGTCATCTCATTTCTTCTTCATGACACACTTGAGAGTTAGCTGTTCTTCATCTCAGTTTTATAGATGGATAGACATGGGCTCCAAGGACTTCAGAGATATCCAGCATCACCAGGTCAGTATGACAGAGCTGAGTCCTAGAGTAGTCTGGACCCTTAGCTCTTACTCAGTGCTAATATCCCATGTGAATGGATACTGCCAGGCTTCCTTTTTGTTTGTTTTTCTGAATATTGTAAATTAGTTTTAAAAAATAGGCAGCTGATATCTGAAGGACTTTGGACTGTTCAGTGAAGATTTTATTTGTAGGAAAAGCTCATCAGTGTTAGGATTAATCTACTTTTTGCCAGCCACTTATCCTATTTGGAAATTTTGAATTGTAAATGTAAGGCATGGCACTAGTGTTCTATGCCAAGGATGTCAAACAGTTTCTGCTTGCATGGAACCCATACTCTAGATAGAGAAAACACTGACATAAACAATCAGAAGTAAGGGTTATGGTAGGGGAAAAATAGGGCTCTGTGAAAAGACAAAGAGAGGGACCAATTCTGTCTGTAGTGAATTGGTGAAGGTTTCATGGCATTTTCAATTTAATATAAACCTTGAAGCATGAGTGGGAGCTCATCAAGATAGTAGGGGAAAGACATTAGGGCAGAGAGAAGAGCAAAGGTTAGAGTATAGAGGGGAGAAAGTACCTGGGACCTTGGAGAGACACGAAGTTTAGTGGAGCCAGTTTCTAAGTATGAGAGGAAATGAGGAATTATGAGGCCTGAGATATAAGTAGAGGGAAGAGCAGCAGTGAAAAAATTCAGTAGAAACAGAAAAGGGTAAAAACCCACTCAGTAGAAGTGAACTGAGCTGCCCAAGTGGATATCCCTCAGGAAGATGAGAAATTCGTAGGCATTCCAAGCCTTTGGTTTGGATTCCAGCTCCACCATTTACCAGTTGGCTGATGCCGGCATTTTCCTCCAACTCTCTGACCCTCAGGTTTCTGTCTGAACTGGGTATTATGGTTGCTGTGTGGACTAAATGAGATGAGTGTGTTGTAGCATAAAATGTTAGCTTCTATCCAAAGGTTGGAAGCCATTGACCACTCCAGAGCCCAGGATTTAGTGGAAGACTGTGTCAAGTTCTGCCTGGGCTGTCCTGTCCTCTATTCTGGAGGCCATGGAGAATTTGACGCTGTACTTTCTAGGAATGTCCAAGTTCAGCATTTCTTCAGACTTTCACTATCACTTCCATCTCCTACCTCTCCTGACCCTCCCAGCCAACAAGAGGGATCAGTCCAGGGGAACCAGTCTGCAGAGGAAGGTCTGCAAGCTCAGGGAGAACAAACACTCTGCCATATGGGTCTAATAGATGTTTCAGTTATTGGTCTACATCAAAGGGCACAGCCTCAGACAGGCCTCCCAGAAGATGACAGAATTAGGGGTGCTTTTCTCCTAGAAGACACCTCAGGTTATTGCAATGTTTTTCTGCCTGTTCAAGATACACTCCTGGCTGTTTGGGCAAAGTATTGGGGGTAAGGCTTATGAAGACATATATTGCCCCCAGCCATTTAGCCCTGAAACTGCAGTAAAATATAGTTGCATCAACCACCTTGAGTTAGCCTCTCACCTGGATCTAACACCTGGGTTCTTACCATGGTCTCAGTGTCTCCTTACTGCATGGGCCCTGGATTATCTAACAATACTGAAGGATCAACTGACAGCCGATGTGTTACATGGGCACTTATGTCCAAGATGCAGCAGGAAGTAAGCATGTTGGGCTCACCAGGACCTGAACTAAGGATGAAACTGGCAGTTCAAACACCTAACCTGCCCCACCGGCCTCTACCTGCTACTACTTATTATGCTTCTTTGTACGGGGTTTCTAAAAGGACTCTGAGCTGAAACACTATCATTCTTATTTGGAACCTATGGCGACATAAGAAGGACCCTTAGAATACCCTAAGCTCCTATTTTTTTTTTTTTTTTTCTGAAACAGAATCTACCAGATGGTGGAATTACAGAGTAAACCATTTTGTTCACCATTCTTATAACATCAGTAAAATAACAAAGATAATTCCCATTCCTGCTTTTTAAAGAGAAAAATATTGGAACCCAGGAAGAGTGGCATTGTAAGTAAATTGCTGGAAGCTTCTAACCTTTGCAGAATCTTTGCAGTGACCAAGTTCTTCCATCCATGTGGTCTCCTAAGACCCTGAGGCATGAATGTTCTCTTCATCTTTTCACATGAGGGAGCTGACTGTCTCAGAGAGGTACAGTGAGCAGACCAAAGTCACACAGAGCATGAAGGGCTCAGCTGGATACCTTGCCTAGGGCACTGTCAGCTCAGAGGCTGGAAGAGTTTGTTTCCTGGCATTCTCAGATCTGTGTTCTCCGTGTTCCCCTTGGGCCATGCATGACTCTACTCCTTAGGTTGCTCTGTGTTGCAGGACTCACACTGGACTGCACCCAGCCCCAGGGAGTACAAAGATAGCCAGTGGAGGGGAATGATGGAGGAGGAGGCAATCCTGATGACAAGAAGGCTACTCTGTGTAGGAATTCAGCTCCCCTGGAAAGGATGAAGGAGGAAAGTGAGCATCCCTGGGAGATCTCGTACAAGGAAGGCCAGGCCAAACCTCTATACTTACAAAATGCTCCAAGAAATATGTCTCAGTTATCAGGCATGATGACTTCTGAGTCCCTGTGTTTGTTTCTATAGAAGAATATTTTCAAATGTTACTTGTTGAAGTTTTATTTTTAGAGACATAGTTTTTACTTTCCATTGCTTACACCATTAAAACTAGACCATGAAGCTGAGTTATTTTACTATAGGGAAGACAGAAACTCAAAGAACTCAGTGACAACAGAGGTTCATTTTTGTGCTTTTGCATTTCAATGTAGTGTTGAAAGAAGTGAAATTTAATTGTAAGGACTAGTTTCTTGAGGGATAAGTGGTTACCTAATTACTAAAATTTTCTGAGAAATTAGTATGTGGCAGATAATGGGTTGTCTATATTTGTAATTATTTTTTATTTATTTTGTGGCAACAGGGTCTTGCCATGTTGCCCAGGCTGGTCTCAAACTCTTGGCTTCAAGAAATCCTCCTGCCTCGGCCCCCCAAAGTGTTGAGATTACAGGTGTGAGCCACTGTACCTGGCCGGAGTTGTCTATTTTAATCTTCTGGTTATTGTTCCAGTCCTGAAGATGAGAAAGCTAATGCCCAGAGAAAGATTAATTAACTTTTCTGAGGTCACTCAGCTAGGAAGTGATAGAGTCAGGATTTGAGCCCAGGTATTTGGCTCTGAACCCATGCTTAATTACTCTGCACATTGTCTTATGTGATGGGTATTCTGCTCATGGCAGAGAATACAGCATAGAACAAGATACTCAGGTTTTCCTCAAGAAGCTGACTAGTTGAGTCTCCTGCTGTTGGTTTTTTTGAGATTTCTTTTTTTTTTGCATTATAAAACTTGCAGTTTCATTTTCAAAATCTAAATTCTTCATTAATTTGAAATTTTATACACAGTGATCTTTGTACAGTATAATATTAATCATGATAAAATATGATTCAGTATAATCCATTTATATCAACCTCCCATATG